ATGAGTATATTCAGTATACCTAGTGATGAGTATATTCAGTATACCTAGTAATGAGTATATTCACTATACCTAGTAATGAGTATATTCACTATAACTAGTAATGAGTATTTTCAGTATACCTAGTAATGCATGATAAGTTATGGAAAGTGTCTAAATGAGCGTTGATGCGTTCACTTCCTGATCCCAGGTCCCTGTTAACTCTGGTCCAAACAATGATGGTGGTGATCCAGTATGTGTTCCAGTACCGATGTACGCCTTCTGCAAACAAATAAGTGGCGCTGAGTTTGAACAGCAAAAAGTGAATTCCTCTCAGAAAGCCATGGAGGAGCTGCTGGAGATCCTGCTGACAGACCAAAATCTAAATGAGAAAGACAGACGCAAGAAACTAAAGCAGGTAACAAAAACTGAGTGGCAGTGCTGCATCAGAAACCGTTAAATACAAGCTCAACGCAAGTTTTCAGTTTTTGTAACAAATTTATCAGGTCGATTTTTATCAAATTTACAGGAACCAGGGTGCTTTTTATTTTTTTTATCCTTGATTCTTTATTTGTGCAGGTATTCATTCACAGGAGCCTGCTCAGTGGAGCAGCTGCTCCCCCGTTTTCTAAATTAGGAGTGCACTCTGTTTCTGCGCCCTCATCTTTTTTTACTTTCTATCCATCCATTATCTTTACCTGCTTCTTCCTTTTTGTGGGGGTCACTGGTGCCCATGTCCAGCCATCATTGTGTGAGGCAGGGTGCACTCTGGACAGGTCTCCAGTCTGTCACAGGGACACATAAAGACAAACAACCATTCACTCTCACTCACACCTAGGGACAATTTAGAGTCACCAATCAGACTAACATGCATGTTTTTGGTCTGTGGGGGGGGGGGGGGGGGACTGGAGTACCCGTAGAAAACCCACGCATGTACGGAGAGAACATGCAAACTCCATCCAAAAAGAGGCAGCAGCTCTACCATCTGAGCCCAACTTAAAAACTTAAAAGCATGTACCTAATATATATAATATAATATATATATAATAAATATTTTATCACATTAAAGGCACATATCTATAATCTATATATATAGGTTGCTATATATAGGAGCAAATTTTCTGTCTTACTGTTGTCTTCTATTGTTTTTTCAGTTTCAGAAGCAGTACCCAGACATCTACAGTCGCCGTTTCCCCTCAAATGGGGAAAGTAAAGCTGACAGCAAGCCAAAGATTAAAGCCCCCCTCCTCAACATCAGGAAGACCAAAGCTTTCAGCATCAGGAACTAAACTCTGGCTGCAGCCGTGCTGCTGCTCTGTCACTGCACCGCCGAGGATCCACATGCAGCCGTTAAAAGAACGTTATTTCTGTCATGGTCTAAACAAGAAGACACAGTTGAGGATTTGTTTTGTGTAAAGTGCATCTTTGCTAACATCTCAGTCAGAGGCAGGTTCATAGATAGGAAGTTAAAATATTTAAATGTTTTTAAGTTTTCAGTTTCTCTTTTGTTTTTATATTTTGTTTTTTGTAAATTTTGAATTGAAACCGATTTGGGAGTAAAACATCAGATTCACTCGTCAGTATAGGAATAATTAGCAGGTCATGTTCTAATTTATCTGAAAGGCAACATCTTGGGAGTAATGTTTGTATTTTACAGGGAGGTTGTAATATTTTTAGATTCTGATGTTCATCTTTTTCTCACAAAGTTCATGCTTATCAGTTTATTTTCTTTCTACTTGCGTTTGGTTTTAGAGACTTTATGTGTTCTAGTTTTTGTCCTAAAGGTTCAGAACCCCGACCGTTTCCTCATATTTAACTGTTAATTTAAAATGTGCGGGTCTTTTCCTGTTTCTTGTTTGTGTCTCATTCCTGCTTCGTTTGCAGGCTAGATGTGTGTTTTGCACTGGGTTTAGAGTTTAAGTTGTGAAAAACCAGCAATCATTAAAATGGGCGTTTTAAAATATTTTAAATGTGTAGTATACATATTTCATGAGATACTATTGTTTTGGTTTACAACTGCTTGTAAAATATCTTTATAATAAAATGTAAATCAGCAGTACAAGCTGTGTGCTTTTCTAAAAACTTGTTTTCTCGTTTTTTAATGCAGTACAGGTAATTTGTACACTGATGTGTTCTGATCCTACGTGTTTAGTTTTAGTTAAATATAACGGATATGAAGCTGTCTGAACTTTCACTTTCTGTATCTTGGCCTGAAGTATCAGATTGATGTTACCAGATGTTTGTACCTCAGATTAAATGAAGTGTGTATATATATATATGTTTGCCAATTTGTATAGGTATGTGTTCAGTGTTTTTATCAAATACTTTTCCATAAGAGTGTATAATGTGCACCTATAACCTTGTTTACTATGCAAAGTCCTGGGAAATAAACTTGTTCTGCTGTGAGTGAAGTGTCTGGAATAATTTTGAAGGTATATCTCGCTCATATAAAGAAGACTAATCTCTATAAAGTATGTAAATTAGAATCACACGTCCAACTACACTAAAACCTCAGACCTGAACCAGACAGACGCGTAAAGCCTATCTCACACGCCCCTGCTTCTATTATATTTATTCCTTTGAGGAGAAAGAAGTTGCAGTTTCTGGTTATTTTTGTGGCAGTACTGAGTCGAGCATATAAAGCATGTGCATTATAACTTTTTTATTCTTTGGATCAACGCTTCTGTACAAGAAACGCTACTGAAGTATAAGTATACTCAGATTAACATCATTTTGAGCATCTTTAGTTGCATTTTACTTTGCTATACTAAAACTGGTGAGACTACAGCCTGCAGCTTTTTGAGATTATTTCATAGAATGCATGTCACAGGTGGAAGATTAACATTAAATTGAAGATATGAGATTAAATCTGACCTGGATCCTGCATGTAATCGATGTAAACAAACTCCAGATATGCTCTTACACATATCCTGGACTTGTCCAAAGCTGTGGACCTATTGGCAATCTATTTTTGATACTTTCTCTGTGATATGTTAAAGTGTGTACCCATCACCATTTATCTCATTTATTGAGGTGGTCCTTGAGGATGCAGCCTTCAGCAAGTACAAGAGGGATACTTGCTTTTGGCTTGAGACTTGTTTTATGCAGATGGTAGGATCTGCATCCCCTGCATATAAACACTGGACAAGAGAAGTCATGTTCATCTGGAAAAGATTAGATACACTCTGAAAGGTTATGTTGAGGGATTCCTGTTTGGTGGCCTCAGGATTCCATCTTTGCTTTTTGCAAATGATGCGGTCCTGTTGGCGTCATCGTGCCGTGATCTTCGGCTCTCACTGGAGCGGTTCGCAGCCGAGTATGAAGTGGCTGGGATGAGAATCGTCACCTCCAAATCTGAGGCCATGGTCTGTTGAAATGAGTTTCCTCTGCAGGGTAGCTGGATATGGTGAGAAGTTCAGTTATCTGGGAGAGATTTGGAGTAGAACCACTGCTCCTCCACATCAAGAGGAGCCAGTTGAGGTGGTTTGGGCATCTGGTAAGGATGCTCCCTGGGCTACTTCGGGTATGTCCGACTGGGAAGAGACCCAGAGGAAGACTGAGGACACGCTGGAGAAACTGTCTCTCGGTTGGCCTGGGAACACCTTGGAATCCTCCCAGAAGATCTGGAAGAGGTGGCTGTGGAAAGAGAAGTCTGGGCCTCCCTGCTCAAACTGCTGCCCCGCGACCCGACTTCGGAACAAGCGGTAGATGATGGATGGATGGATGGACGGACAGATGGACAGACGGATGGATGGATGGTTCTCTTGAGATATTTTGGAACACTTAGCAGCCATTTATGTTTTATACTGAGAGTATGTCAATGCCTGTCTGATGTCTTTGTGTCTGATCCGGTTTGTGAGGGGTGGGAGGGGATTTTTATTTTTATTTTTTTGTGTATGTATGAGTTCTGTGGGGTTTTTATTTTTATTTTTTTGTCTTTCAGGTACACCTGGACCTATACTTGGACCTACCATTCTGTGTTCGTCTGTCTCTCCTTCCTGTCTTCTCAACCAGCCGGTCAAAGCAGATGGCTGCTTGTCCTGAGCCTGGTTCTGCTGGAGGTTTCTTCCTTTTAAAAGAGAGTTTTTCTTTCCACTGTTGCCACTGTGCTTGCTCAGGATGGGAGACTGCAACAAAGCCAAGATTCAACTTGTCTGCTGGCCTCCTTAGATAGAGAACTTTACTAATTGGCTTTTATGTACAAACAAAGTATGTGAATGTTCCTGTAAAGGGCCCTGAGACAACTTTGTTGTGATTTGGCGCTTTATAAATAAACTGAATTGAATTTAACTGAATTGAAAGAAAAATCAACAAAAAGACATTGGTTTAAAAGAAAAAGTGAAGCTACAATCATACTTTGGACTCGTTGCTCAACAGTTGCCTTTCAAGTATAATATCACAAACGGCTGGCAGAAACTTTCTCTAAAGACACATCTGGCTCCAAAATCCTCTGACTCATCAAACATCAGCCTCACCTCAGAAGTATGATGGTGTCGGCAGCAAGCTTCCATCCTGAGGTTTTTTTGTTAGCTGGTTGTTATTTGGAAAAAATGTCACGAACTAGTGGGGCATGTCGCAGTGACTGCGTCCACTTCCTTCATCCAGTTTACAGCTTTAGGAGTTCAACCATAAAGAGGGTTGCAGCTGTTTTTATGGGACGACTGTCACAGCACAAATTAACTCAAACTACCACATACGGGCGTCTTCATATGTTTACTGGTAGTTACACAAGAAAAACATAAATTTGACCTGGAAACCCTTCGTTATTGCAAACCTTTTGTTGAGCAAATATTATTTTCTATTCAGCTTCCATTGATGACAGATAATAAATAAAACCCAAATATATTCACTGACTGTGTGTTCCTCTTCTTCCTCCCTCCAAAGTAAAAAAAAGTTCACTGTTTAATTTGACAGAGTCTGGAGCTGATTAAGTGAAATATGTTCTGCATGCTTCTGGGCCTTCAGCAGACCCAGACTTCAGTCTGACTTTTAGCTCATTAGTTCCCAGGTTGGACAAGAACCTTGTTTAGGTGCAGCATGGAGCCGAGGGCAGGCGGCTGAAAGGAGAGGAGACAAAGCTGATTTGTTCAGCTGTGGGGGGAGAAAGTCTGAGAAGGAGGGGAGAAAGTGGGAGCAATAGAAATGAAAGAAAAAGAGGAGAGGGAGTGAGGCAAGATGGAAGAGGGGAGGGAGAAAAACGAGAAGATGGAGGAGGGGGGACTTGGTTTCCGTCTCTGCTGCAGGAAATGTGTGTGGTTTAAATCCAACAAGTCTCTTTTACTGCATTTGTATTTGTGGGAGCAGAAAGAGTAAACAGCATGGTCAGCCGGTGAGTGATCATCTCCTTTTCATTTTCCTCAAACTTCTTTCAGAGGAGAAACAAGAAATGTTAAGAGCACTGCTCGTGTTCAGGTTTGTTGGTTTTCTGGAGCAAAACAAGAGAAGTCTTCCAGTAGATGGGAGGCGTTTTCCTGAAAAAGAAATTCTATTAGACGATGAGCCAGCCGAGAGGATTTTAGTCCGTGCAAAGTTTTCCACAAGATTTTTCTTCTGTTTTCTGCCAAAACAGGAAAGGAAAATCAAAAATGTGAAGGCTGAAAACAAAGAAAGAAACTGACTGATTGTGAAAGAAAACAAACAAAATAGAAAACTGAAAAAAAAGTTTTACTGTGTTTCCAAAGGATGATTTAAAGTTCCACACAGTAACTCATCTTTAGTAAAAATGATTATTTTATTATTTTGTTGTTTGCAGAACTAGGTAGGAGCTCTATTTTAACTTAGAATAAGTGTTAACATTTACAAATGTCTATTTCTGGCTTGTTCACATTGTGCAAATGATTCCTGGTTCCAGTATAGAGCATCCTGCTGCAGGATACAGGAGGATCTTTGAGACGGTGGAGGAGCTCAGTGAGCCCATTCCTGCAGAAATCACCGGTGAGAACTCCTAACGAGACCACCAACACAATTAAACAAACAAAGATGTGCTTTAAATCCAATAAAACTTTACTTTTCACATGCTTATTTTTAATTTTCATAGGTTTTGTGCAGCTAAATGAATGTAATCACGAGAATATGTGTCTGTCGTTACTTCAAGATGTTATTTAGTTAAGTATTTTGATGCCAAATGAAATAAAAACAAGGAGCCAAGAAGTGAAACTGCTTTCCTGGAGTTTCTGAGAGTGAGCAGATCTTCCTGTTTACTCAGGTGATCTCCCATCGTGGCTGGGGGGGAGTCTGCTCAGGATGGGTCCAGGTCTGTTCGAGGTGGGGGATGAACCTTTCCACCACCTGTTTGACGGACAGGCTATCATGCACAAGTTTGATCTGAAGGACGGTCAGGTGACTTACTACAGGAAGTAAGAAAAACTCTCTTTAACTTATAAACCAAAGCACACTTTCATCATATATAAATATATATAAGGCATTTAAAAGAGCACATAATGTCATGATTTCAGCTCCCTGCCTCCTCTGCTCTTTGCCACCTGAAGGGCTCTTGGCCACGCCCACTTCTCAGCTCTGCACAGTGAACAGCTGATCAGCTGCAGCAGGAAGTTTGTCCTGCAGTGTGGGCTACACACTGTGCAGGAGGAAGCTTTTTATGCAGCTCTGGGTTGCACAAATGTGCAGGAGGTGCAAAATAATTTTAAATAATTTATTTAAAATAAAAATTCCATGCCGATCGTGCGGCTCATCCATCAAGGAGCCAATTGAGTGTCATCGCCAATCTTATTTTGAAAAACCGCGATTGAGCAGACCGCGATAAACGAACCGCCAAGTAGCGAGGGACTTCTGTATTCATTCATACCCATCTGCTCACCACAGACTCATGTTCGGGTTGCTTTTGATACGCCACATTGTTTTACATTATTAGTGTTTAGTCTCTAGCTTAGATCTTTTAGCGTATTATTTAGTGTTCTTTTAGCATATATCTTAGACTCTTATATACTGTTCCGTTTTATATTTTAGCTATTTTTGGGTGTAACTGGGACCTTAAATACATAATTTTGTTCTACCTCATGTACCACATGTGGTGCAAATGACAATAAAGATACTTGAACTTGAATTTGAACTTGAACTTAAGGAAGAAGTTGAAACTGAGTGTATGATGTAAAAAAAAAAAAAAAAACATTAGCCAAAAGCTACAAAAAGCAAAATGCCAGTTAAAGGCTAAAAGTACCAAAAGGCTAGCTTTAAGCTAAAAAGTAGCAGAATGTTAGCTAAAAGTTTAAAGTAGCTCAAGAAAACAGAACCAGTTTTCCAAAACAAATTTCAAAGAGCAGCGTTTCTGAAGAATTATGGCAATCTCAGTGTTAGTCTGTGGGGAAAAGTGAAATATTTTGAAAAATATAAAAGCTACAAAAGCCAAATGTCACTGCATCCATCTCCTCAATGAATGGATGTAAATGAGGATTTTTTTTTTTAATGCTAGCATGTATGACGGGAGAGAATGGAGCCTGATTTTGGCACCTCTTTCTGTGAAACTCAGAAAAATCTCTGCTTGTAAATTCCTCGCAGCTTGATTGTTGCCAGACGAGACACAACCAAAGAGCTGCCGCAGACCACAAGCATCCCTCATGAAATGTCTCTGAAAATATAACGGCCTTTTTATTTCCCTGAGGACAAGTGTTCTTGTTTTTAAATATAGAAACGCTGTGTGATGTTTGTGTTCAGGTTTATCAGGACAGATTGCTACGTTCGTGCCATGACTGAAAACAGAATTGTCATCACAGAGTTTGGCACCGCAGCTTATCCTGATCCCTGCAAAAACATCTTTTCCAGGTAAACCCAAGCACGAGAGCTCAGGTGTTACTCAGACAACCCGCTGAGTCTTCCATTGGATGAAGATTCTGGTTCCTGTCTTCTGACTGAGCAATAAAATAATGTTTCTAAATAAAAAAGCAAAGCATATGCGGACATAGACATAATTAGTTGCCTGTCCAAGAAATACATTCAAGAAAAGCATTAAAGTTGAACCACTTTACTGCTTATTAAATGTAAATTAATTATTCCATTATATGGTTAATAAATCAATGAAGAGATTCAAAATATTCTGATTATTTGAACAAAGGTAAAACACCAATATCAACTATTTTTTTCTTTGAAAGCTGGTAAAATCTACATTTTATTTTTAATAATGACCATGATTCTCAGGATTTTTACTGTTTCTGTGATGGTTTTATCACCCTGTGTTGGTCTGAACACAGAGAGCTGCGTCACTGCAGATTACAAGCAAACAGGAGATGAGCGGTAGAAACCAAACTTCTCCTCAGTTTTCTTCGTGCTTGTGTTTGTTCAGGTTCTTTACTTACTTCAAAGGCATGGAAGTGACTGATAACTGTATGGTGAACATCTATCCCATTGGTGAAGACTTCTACGCCGTCACAGAAAGCAACTACATCACCAAGGTTGATCCAGACTCTCTGGAAACGCTGGAGAAGGTGGAGCTGATTGGTTTAGTCCTTTGGGGACTGGGACCAGTTTTAAATGTCACCCATTTACATTTTCCATTTGGTTCCATGGGTTCAGGCAGCTTTTTTCTTAGAGCTTGTCCAACCATCCAAACAAATTATTAAAGAGTTTGAAGATCGTTGTGACGTCATCAATAGAACAAAGAGCGGTGCAGCATTGCAGTTGTCCTGAAAGTGGTGAATAATATTTTCCATTTCGACTTGTGTGCATGTGTTTACATTAGGTAGACCTGTGTAAGTACCTCTCAGTGAATGGAGTTACTGCCCACCCCCACACTGAAGCAGATGGCACAGTCTACAATATTGGAAACTGTTTTGGCAAGAACATGAGTCTGGCATACAACATCGTAAAGATTCCTCCTGCACAGGAAGGTGAGTCCTACAACCAGCAGGCTTTCTATGCAGGTCAAAAAGTACAAACAATTACAGATCTTACCACGGCGAAGTGCATTTAACATGTGGGTTTAATGTCAGGTTGTCTGACTGAGCTGCAGTGAACAGAACGTGCTGTCAGATGGGCTTTACGTGAGCAGACCTGGCAGCCGAATGTGCTACAACAAAGCTCAGATTTCAAAGTTGAGACACGTGCAGCTATTGTTTCTTTTCTGTTCGAACATGTTAGCTTCCATTTGATGTGTATTATAGATGCTGTCTCGTTATTAAAATTCTTGGATCTACTGTATGTACATTTACACGGGACTTGATTTGAGTTGTTGGAGAGTTCCTGGTTGATGGTTTTGACACATGAATAACATTTAAAAAATAGCAAAAAAGACTAAAGTTGTAAGTACTTATCATAAAGTCATGAAATCCAGTCAAATGTAATAATTTTCACTGTATAGGTCATAGTTTTTTGCATAAATTAGCATGCCTGCGACTTATAAAGCGAAGCAACATATTTATGTTTGTTTTCCCATATTTATAACCAATTTTTGGCTGATCTGACAATTTCATTCATGCTGACATGGAAAATATTGAACACCACCATTTTCATCCACTAGAGGGCCCTTGACTTGTATGGCAAGCCAAGTGTCTCATTAATAGGTAAAAGTGACTATAAACGAGACACTTGGCTTGCCATACAAGCCACCTTCGTCTCACTCCGGAACTCCTGGAGCAAATGTCAAATCAGCTGCATTTCGCCACGCCGCCCAGGTGAAATGCAGCTGATTTGACCATTAAAATTAATGTATTAAGGAAAAGTTCAACAGAGACACACCTTTACTATAATGTCAAGCAAACAAATACTTGTTTTAATTGGTTATCTTGCTAAATTTCGAAGAAATGCACAGCGAGCCGTACCTCTGCGTGCTCCCGCAGACGGGTTCTTTTTGTTCAAACGTTTCGTCTTTCATCCAAAAGACTTCATCGGTTTGAGGAGCTGCAACAAACTGTCTAATAAATAGCACCTTCCCATAGTGGGTCAACCAGTTTGATGGTGATAAGATGGTTTCTGGAGTTCGCCCTCTCCCTCGTCGATTCGTTTATTTGACATAATTTATAAGACCAAGTTTGTTACAGCTCCTCAGACTTATGAAGTCTTCTGGATGAAAGACGAAACGGTTCAACAAAAAGAAACCGTCCAGAGGACCTGACTTAACTTTGTTGGAAAAAGACAGAGAGTTTTGGTGTACTGGTACTCATTAATGCTCTGATTTGATCAGTAAAGCAAGCAGATTAAAAGGTTTTGATTGCATTGAGTGTGGACCCACATTCCTGAATTGCGTTTCATAACATTTGGAAACTGATATTTCAAACTGAAGCATTTGTTATAATTTATAACATTTTTTTTACACTTGATATTATGATTTGCAGTCAGTCCTTGTAACTCCTTTGTGTGGATCTGTTTGTTTCTAGATGGCTCAGATCCTTTAGAGAAATCTCAGATCGTGGTTCAGCTGCCCAGTAGTGAGAGGTTAAAACCTTCCTACGTACACAGGTACAGATTTATCTCATCATTACGGAAAAGTCCTGTTTTTCTTTCTCCTTTATGTGTCAAATGCAGTTTAACTTAATGCATGTGTGCCCTTTTTCTATTTGTTTCCCTGTCCTTTGGGGAGTGTAGTTTCGGTATGACCGAGAACTACTTTGTATTTGTGGAGCAGCCGGTGAAGATCAACCTTCTCAAGTTCTTGTCTGCTTGGAGCGCTAGAGGAGCCACCTACATGGACTGCTTTGAATCCAACGAAAGCATGGGGGTAAAACAGAGCAGAAATGCTGAGTGCTGAGAATCACAGCATCAGAACACTCACTTTTGTCACAACAGGCAGGTGTTGGTGAACCCAATGATGCAAGCAGGTAGGCAAGGGCTCAGGGTGAATATATATATAACAAATAATTTATTAACAAAATAAAACAAAACAAAAGAGTTGACAGTGCAGCAAAACAACATAGAATGATCAGGGGGTATTCATAAAACAGACATGCTATCACCAGTGGACAGAAGACAATGCCAGGACAAGGAGTGAGACAAACTCCCAGGCTTAAATACAGCAAACACCTATTAGACAAAGTGAAGATACCTGTGAGTAATCACAGATGCCAAAGACAGAGACTGAGGATGCAAGACATAAACACGACACAAGATGGAGCTAGATACTAAGGAAATGCAAACCCCATAAAGCTAGAAACAGAGGATGGGAAGAAAGCAAGACAAAAATGCAACACCAGGGGGCTAGACACCAGGGGACAAAAACCACAACTCCTACAAGTTTATGTACCTGTGTTGTAGACATGGTTCCACTTGGCTACCAAGAACCCAGCAGGATATCTGAGGAACCACAAGTTCAGAACTTCAGCTTTCAACATCTTTCATCATATCAACACGTATGAAGAGCAGGGTTTCATCGTGGTGGACCTCTGCACATGGAAAGGGTGAGTGTAAAGCTCTGTTTTCTGCATCCTGAGGGGTTATAAATGACTTTGCTCTATATTTGCAGCCATGACTTTGTTTATAACTACCTGTACCTGGCCAACCTGAGGGAGGAGTGGGAGGAGCTGAAGAGAGCGGCCATGACAGCTCCTCAGCCGGAGGTCAGACGATACGTCCTGCCGGTGGATATTCACGGGGTGAGGACAGAAAGACTACATTTGATTGTTGTCTGCAGATGATGATGTTCTTGTTTGTTTGCAAAACATCTAATCAAACATGATAGATTGTAATGAAACTTTTAATTTTTACAACAGGTTAATTTAGGCATTAACCAGATCCAACATGGCTGCTACAGACAGCTGACATTGGGGGAAAAAAAGAAACACACAACAACTGCTATAACAGTCAAACTTGATGTGGTAGTAGCCGAGACTCATTCCCAACACGTACTCTGAGCTGGATAGCCACTTTCCTCTGGACTGATATATATATATATATATATATATATATATATATATATATATATATGGGTGTGTGTATATATATATATATATATATATATATATGTGTGTGTGTGTTCTTTTTGCTTTCTTCTGCTAACTTAGGCTTGTTCTTTCATTTCAGCTGATTTTCAGCAAGTTCTTCAGCAATAAGCATTCACACTGTATTTTCACAGAAAATGCTATTTCTCTAGTTCATGTTGTTTCACAGAACTCAGATTTCAGCAGCCCACTTTTTAAAAGGCACCTTATTTTGCAGATCTGGACTAACAGCCTCAGCTTACTCTGACTAATTTATTTATTTAGTCAGTGTGTTTTTGACATGAACCTCACTGCTGTCAGCCTCCTGTGGAGTGGATCAGGATGTGTATTTTTCTGCGTGCGTTCAGGGGGAGCAGGGGAAGAATCTGGTGTCTCTGTCCTACACGACAGCTACTGCTGTTCTTCACAGTGACGGCACCATCTGGCTTGAACCTGAAGTTCTGTTTTCAGGACCAAGACAGGGTATCGCACAGAAACACACTCGGATAACTCACACTGCTGCACATACAGACATGCAGTCAATCAGAATGATCTGTTCAATTATCTTTGCAGAGATGTAGTAGAGTGCTGTGTGAATGTGTGTTGGAGGTAAATGAGGGCACAGCTGTAAAGCACTTTATCTTGATCACATAGAAAGGTGCTATATAAGTTCAGTAAATGGTAAATGGACTGTACTTATATAGCACCCTTCTATCTGATCAAGATACTCAAAGTGCTTTACAACACAATCTGTGCCCTCATTTACCCATTCATACAGCACTCTACTACATCTCTGCAAAGATTCATTAGTGCTTTAGATCACATTCATACACCGATGGGACACACATCGGAGGCATTTAGGGGTTCAGTATCTTGCCCAGGGACATTTTGGCGTGTGACTACTGGTGGAATCGAACCCCCAACTCTCGTATTGGAGGACAACTGCTCTATCCACTCAGCCACAGCCGCCCCTACAGTACGTTCACCATTTAAATCAGTGGTGTAGTCTGCATTTTTGTAGTGGGTATACTGTGCTTAGAAACCAAAGTACACTGGTTAGTACAGTATAATCGTCAATTTATTTTGAATTTTAAGCATATTAAACATTTCCAATTTTCTCTGATTTATATTTGAATAAATGAACAACAAACTGTACAACTGTTGTTTTTTTCAAGTATCAAGTAGTAAGTACAGAAATATTAATTATGCAATTATTCGCTGCATAAGAGAATGTGGAAAAAACAAGCGCTGCACACAGACAGATGGTTACAGAAGCATTTTACTGCCCTTTAATATGGCAAGCCCTCAGATCCACGAATAGACACTTTTACATGCTTACTCACGCAAAAAAAAATGGATTACGTCGTAAAATACGACATAAATCCACTCAAAACGCCATTTTTTTACGCCTAATGACACGTGCCTAATGATATATCATGTATCATTGGATACTTTGAAGTGGTTATACTGAAATTTACAAGCTTCTCTAGTGGGTACACGCCGTATACCTGTAGACTACATCACTGATTTAAATCCATCAGATGAAGTATAAATGTATGATGTCGTCTCTTTCAGCCTTTGAGTTTCCACAGATCAACTACTCTCAGTGTTGTGGAAAGAAATACTCATTCGCCTATGGACTCGGACTGAACCACTTCATTCCTGACAGGGTAACCTCCGCCTGTAGAATAAAACCATCCTGTAACGTTATCGGACCATGTCAGCAGCTGCTGGTGTTTCCACAGATTGTTAAGTTGAACGTGCAGACCAAAGAGACCTGGGTGTGGCAGGAGGAGGACTGTTACCCATCAGAACCACTTTTTGTCCCCACACCTGGAGCCACAGAGGAGGACGATGGTAATGGGCTCTCATGTTTGAACTGGTCACAAGTCTAACTGGAAACTCTTTCCATGCATTTTCTCTGGTTACTGCAGCATAATATTTTGCCACTGGAAGATTCAAACCTGCATATCTGTATGTGCAACAATAATAAACCAGTTTAATGAGCCACTTCACTCCATGAGAGCAGCTGATGATTTAAGTTTACCTGAAGGAGCGGATAATTTACGCCCTGAACGCTGAAGGCTTCGTCTTTTCAGCACATTCCTCAGCTGCAGGTCTGAGATCAGCAGTTTGAGATCAGCTCGAGTCCAATTGTTCCTAAACTGGTTCTGAGGCGTCGTCACCTTCACTGGCAGCTCCTGGGAAAACAGCCGAGTGCTCACATCAACACATCTGACCTGAAAGACAAATCCTTTCAGATCTTTAAACTTCTTGTATATTTGTGGTTCAGCTTCCTGCATCGTCTGCTCTGTGATCTTCAGGCGTGCTGCTGAGCATCGTGGTGAAGCCCGGTGCAGTGAGACCAGGGTTCCTGCTGGTTCTGGACGCCGTGAAGCTGGAAGAACTCGCCAGGGCTGAGGTGGACACCATCTTCCCTCTCACTTTGCACGGGACGTACAAACCACGATCATCCGACTAAACTGTTTCCTGCCCCTTTGGTCAAACTTTATGTAAAACGATAAAAACCTGGCAACAGGTTTTACAACAAATATTTACTATAACGTGGTATATCTTTATATATATCTTTATCTTGCAGCTGAATTATAATCATTAACTGACTGCTGCTGTGCTGAGAGAAGCAGTGCATGGATGCAGGAAAACAAAGAAACAATCTGCTTAAAAATATATTTTGTTTCATAATCAGACATATTTTTGAACTCATATTAGTGAGAAAAAAAACATAAAAACAATGTGTTTTTGCTTTGTATGATTAAAAAAAACAGATCATAAATGTGATGATTTTTTAAAATGTGGTTTGTTTTGACAGCACTTTTGGTAAAATAAATCTTGAGTGACAAAAGTTTTTACGAGCAGACGTTTGATTTTCCGTTTCAGATTTATTGTTCTTAAATAAAGGAATCATAAATATACAAAACTTGTTAATCCATTATTTTTAAAGTTTATTAACGAAATGGACTAAACATTCAGAAACTGTAAAAATAGACTGAATTGGTTTTATCGCCAGAGCTTCATAAAATCTTGATTAAACATTTTATTTTGCCGAGTCTTCAAACAAAATCTGTTCTGGATCATTCATCAGCTGTTACTAATTAAAAATATATATATATTTTTTTTTTATAAAGTTGTCTACTATTTTTTTCCTTTTGTTAAAACACATTACACATTTTACCACAATTTGCAAAAAATATTCTACGAGCTGTGGACAAGGTTGAGGCAAAAGTTAAATTTAGGCATTTTATTCTGGTCATTTTACTCTTTGAGTCCAGATGAATGTTGTTCCCAAATGTGATGAATTTTGACAATTTGTACAAAGAACAAAAATTATGTCGGGACAAACGTCTTAAACAAAATGTAAACAGCTGCAGAGACCGGTCATTTTAACTTTGTGTTACTTAGTTTATACCAAAAAGTAATTCATTCTCTTTGCATTAGTGATATTTTAGTTGATAAATTAAATTTTGATCGCTTTTCTCCAAAATACAAGAACAATTAATTCAACCTTTATTTATACAGGTTAGTGTCACTGAGTCACAACGACTCATTTTCAAGAGACACCTGTTCTATACAGACAATATACAATAAAAGCAATTAAAATAAAAAGTAGTGTTATATAAACAATCAAATCAATGTGGAAATACTTTAATTATTTAATGGATGCCAGGTTAGAGAAGCATTTCTACAGAAAAACAAATATAATTTTATTGTTTTAACAATGATTTAATTTGAGACATAAAGCTGAGTTAGTAGTTTGTGGGTTTTTCTGCCCCCTAGTGGCAACAAACATGAAGTACAGTAATGCAGCTAAAGGGGAAAACTGTCAAAAAAGGACCCAAAATTTAAAAGATGTTCCATTATTTTTTCAGCTTGAATATTTAAATTTGCTTGGCTTCAGTTTACCAGCTGTCAGGAGAAGTCTGCACTAAATGGATTATGTTCAACGCTTAAGTAAAATGAAAAACAATAAAAATATTTGACTTTACATGATCTTGGGGGCCAGATGTTAATAAGAGCCAGGCCTTGAGTTTGACACATGGTTTCAATTGATCTGAATATTAACTAAAATAAGTGTTTCTTCAGAGACTTCAGGTAAATAATTTTAGAAAAACATTTTATTTAAGTGATACTTACTTTAGTCAAGTTAAATAATTCAAACAAATTCCCCACAGTGACATTTTTAACTCAAAGCAGTGCAGCTGACATTAGAGAAAAACTGAAGACAGAAACAAGTTCACCAATTTAAAAAAACAACTTCATTTTATACAAATATCACATAAATAATTTACGTGTGTAATGACAAGATTACAGGTGAAACATCCGTGTAATTAAAGATCAAAATTAGACTGTTTTAAAATACAATAAAAAAAAAAAGAAAAAAGAGAATATTCAGGTCTTCTGTGTGTGAAGCTGGAGAATAACTGCAAATATCACTGTTTTATTATTTGTAGTAGAATAGTAGCGTCAGATGACAATCAGCTGGAGCAAACTTTCACTAACATGACGTGTCGAAAATCTGGTGTTAAAAACAACTAATGAGGCACTTTAGGAGAATTCTTGATCAGTGTGTTATTATTACAACATGTACCGTATTTTTCAGACTATAAGGCTCTTCACTGACCCTTCCCTTTCTCTTTAAAATCCGTTTTAACCGTCCAAAATCTCGTTTTTGGATCGTTAAAAGCAGCTGAGAAGCTAAGCTACGAGCTAAGCTAACAGGCCGACCTCAGGGAAAAAACCTCCGTCTTGTCGAAGCTCCAAAATTCACGGTTGAAATCCGTGCCTTCGTGTAAAAAGTTGTTTTTATCTGCAAAAAGAAGCTGAGAACTTGTTTATTGATTCTTTTTATTAAAAGCTTTACGTGAAAAATGCTATGCTAAAGAGCTCAAACCACGCCGAGCATCTGTCATGTCACCATGTCACGTCAAGGAGCCTCCCTCCCATTTTTCTTAGACGCACGCTGCTCAACTACTTCAGACTTGTACTGCCATCTGGTGGTCAAAAAAGGTACTACGCACAAAACAAACCAATATTTCTTCTTAAATTTGACAATAATGACTAATTATTGTTAAATTTCAAACAATATTATCGTTTATCGCAATAATTTCTGAGACAATTAATCGCCCAGCAAAATTTGTTATTGTGACAGGCCTAATTAAAATCCTTCAATCTTCTCAAAAATTAACAGGGAGCCTTACAATAAGGTGCGCCTTATGTTTTAATTCTGGTTGTGCTTACTGACCTGGTTATTGTGAGTGAGTTGAATAAAGTTTGACTTATCTGACTGTTTTGTTTAGTCCGAAAAATACAGTAAACAAAAGAACTCAAGTAAAAGTATTAAACACACATTATTGTGTCAAATATCTAAATCATAGATAAATCTCTGCTCTGGTGCAGTTTTCCCACATTTAAATGTGGTATTAAGCAGACAGAGGAAACTCTTCCCATATTTATCAAATTAACTGTCGAGGGGAAGAAATGTCTGAATTTCAAAGACCAGTGCTGTTTGCAACGTGCAATTAGCATAAAATAATTAACATTTCCCTTAGAGCTTCAGTTTTTCTCCTTCCCTGAAGGAAAAGAGGAAGTTTCGTGATCTGCTGCACGGCTGACTTCACCAACAAAAGAGCTTCCACGTCAGAAAAATGATTGATAACTCTTCCTCTGGTGATCGTCAGATATTCGTGTCATGCTGAAGAAGTCAAGGTGGTGCAGAAACAGTCTGCAGCTTGATGACTGGGTTAAAGAGTTCAGAGAAAGAAACTGAAGCTCCTACATGCGTAGAAGTACTGACTGTTGCCTCTCTGTAGACAACTGATACTGCTGCTGCCTGATGATGTCCAGGGAGTCTCTGAGAACCTGCAGGAAAAATAAATGAAACCATGTTAATGGCAGCAGAAAGCTCCTAAAATGCCCCCTGCATCATTTAATCAAAGCTACGAGATGTTTACCTTCCTGGTGTCCTGAGGCAGAATGACTCCATCATCCCACATCCTGGCAGAGGAAAAGAACGCAGAGCTCTCCTCCTTTAGCTTCTCGTTCAGATCCTCCTCCTGCTCATCATCAGGGGGGAGCAGGGAGCCGACGTAGCCCGGAGCCGTCACAGACACTCTGGCGTTGGGCCACAGGAAGAGGAAGTTGGGATCAAAGGCCCGCCCACACTGGAGACGAAGCGTGGGAGAATGAAAACAATGATCTTTAATGAGTTTAATGAGATCGCTCTGCTGGTTGGATGTGAAACTGAAGACCATGTTACAATAACTACTCAGTCATGCTGTGTAAAAAAAACACGTGAATGCTTCACTTCCAGAAAAGTAATCTACCCTTTACAGAGCCGCTCACCATGGCGAAGCTGTCGGCGCCATGGCAACCGCCAATCACCACCGTGATTTTGGGGACAGTGGCGCACGCCACCGCTGACATCATTGAAGCCTGAGCTTTGAGACAGTTACTGTTCACCTCTGCCTGCAAGAGAAAAACTAAATACTCATCTGAAATACTCAAATGGTACTTTAGCCACGCTGACTAACAATCTGGACATAGAGTCTTAATTCATTTCATATATTCTCTAATATATTTGCTCTGCTATATCCCAAAATATTATTTTGGGAATTAGTATTCATCCATCCATCCATTATCTTTTTACCAGCTTCTTCCATTTTGGGTCACGGGGGTCGCCGGTGCCCATGACTGTGCGAGGGGCGGGGTACACCCTGGACGGGTCACAAGTCCATCACAGGGACACACAGAGACAAACACCATTCAGTCACTCTCTCACTCACACCTAGGGACAATTTAGAGTTATCAATCAGCCTAACATGCATGTTTTTGGTCTGTGGGAGGAAACCGGAGTATTAGTATTCATATGAAGTATTTTTCTTATATTATTTAAAGTAAACAGCCTCAGGCATTGAGTCGGACGTGGTCAGCGTTTTACTGCAGTGAGTACCTGAGTTGTGGACAGAGTGGCTGCTGCTGCAGGCGTCGTGTTCTGGAGGAAGAGGAGGGGAACGTCTCTCTGGTCACACAGCTGGACGAAGTGACTTCCTTTCAGTGCAGCTTCATACGACAGCACCCCATTGTTGGCTACTATCCCCACCAGCTGGCTAAAACAAAACATGAAACTTTTCTCATGCTTAAACAATTCAGTGGTGGGGACTTTTGGTTTTTTTTAGAATAAAATGTGATCAGACATTTTACTAAAAATGTCATTATGCAAAATTGAATGAATGCCCATCAAATCATTTTATAATGTCATGACGTTAAGATATAGACACAACCTGCTGTAAGTGTTTTGGACACACGCAGCTCAGCGGGATTGAAACCGAGCTACAGATCGGTTAGTAGACACTTTTTCTTAATAAATGCACTTTAACGGTCAAATCAGCTGCATTTCGCCTGGGCGGCGAAATGCAGCTGATTTGACGTTTCCTCCAGGAGTCCTGGAGCGAGACGAAGGTGACTTGTATGGCAAGCCAAGTGTCTCATTAATAGTCACTTACCTATTAATGACACTTGGCTTGCCATACAGGTTGAGGGCCCTCTAGTGGCTGAAAATGGAAGTGTTCAATATTTTCCATGTCAGAATGAATGAAATAGTCAAATCTCTGCCAAAGATTGGATTATAACTATGGGGGAAAAACATAAATACGTTGCTTCGCTGTATAAGTAACAGGCATGCTAATTTATGCAAAAAGGTGCGACTTATACGCCGGAAAATAAGGTAAGTTTGAAATATTTATGTAGTATTTTTGAGGCGTGTGAATCGTAAAACTACTGTGCACCACTCATGTCTTACTATCTTAAAGAAGTCCCTAATAGTTTGGGCTCCATATGTATTTGCATGTGAAGGAGTAAAAATCCCCACAGCCAGTCTGCCACCTTCTACTGTGCAACTCACATAAGAGACACATGTCTCAAGCACAGTTTGGTTATTTTCCCCTGTTGGATCACTTCCAGCAGGGTGTGAATGAAGCTTAAAATAAGAAAAGTTCCTGCCAGAGTTCTGTTGCGTTACTGCAGAGTGAGTAAAGTCTCCATCTTTATTCCTTTGTGTCTGAAATGATGCTGAACATTGTTCCAAGCATTTGGTCCCCACAGTGAACTTTCACAGGCAGGAGACGTCGTTATAGATAAAGAGTTTGTGTGTTTTCTCACATTACCCGTGGATCTTTGCGAAGCCCGTGACGAGTGAGGTTCCATATCGAGCTTTAAACTCCTGGAAGCGGCTCCCATCGGTCAGCCGACTGACCACCTGAACAAGAAAAGCACACATTTATAGTTAAAGATAAACCCAGTGAGATACATGAGAGACTCTGAAGTATTTAAACGACAGAACTTTGTGGGGTTTTTTTTTTGTGTCGTACCATTTTAACATCCAGACTGTGGCTGTAACTCTGAGGAGCGAGACCCAGAAGGTCTTCTGAATTATACCGCGGCTCCTCGGATTCCCTCTTCGACGCGTCTTCCTCTTCCTCAGGCAACTGGAAGTTGAGGGTGGATATAATGTTTCTGGTGTAGTTAAATGCCTCTTTTTCATCCCACGCAAAATGGTCCACACAGCCACTCACCCTGCGACAAAACAGGAATTAGACAAACACGATCTTTCTTCAACAGGAGATCAATGAACCTACTCAGCATGAAGTGTGGCTCCTCCCAGAGCTTCAGGTGTCACTTCCTCTCCGGTGGCAGCTTTGACGAGCGGCGGGCCTCCCAGGAAGATGGTGCCGATCTGATGCACCATCACCGCCTCCTCCGCCATCGTGGGGACGTACGCTCCACCCGCAGTGCACGAGCCGCACACCACCGCCACCTTCACCATCATCACGAATTATTAACTCAACACTGTGATTGTTTACAGGTTTTACTCTTCGGGTGTTTACCTGGGGGATCTTCATGGCCGACATGATGGCTTCATTATAAAACATCCGTCCTCCATGGTTCTTATCAGGGAAGATCTCCGACTGAAATAAAAAAAAAGTATGAATCAAAAGCAGTAACTTATATGAAAATATACTATTTTAGTTCCTAACTACTAGTGTGAGTAAACCTGCAGCGGTAGGAAGGCTCCACCGGAGTCCACCAGGTAAATACAAGGCAGGCGGTTCTGAATGGCTACTTGTTGCGCTCGAAGCTGCTTCTTGACTGTGATTGGATAAGCTGTGCCGCCTTTCACTGTGGCGTCGTTGGCAATGAACACGCACCACAAACCGTTGATCCTGCCGACGCCTGGATAGACACAAACACAGGAGGTGCAGGTGAGGAATACAGTGACAGCTGGCTGATATAAAGACTACAACAGATCAGAATACACAGTAAATAGTACCAAAGACACAGCTAGAGCGTTCTGACCAGTCAGGCAGCTGGCTGCAGGGATGTCCCCGTACGGCAGATCCAAACCAGCAAACGATGAAAGCTCCAGGTAGTCGTCGTCGTCCAACAGGAGGCGCAGCCGATCCCTGACCAGCAACTTCCTGTTTTTCTGAGTGTGTCTGGCTATGCCGATGTCCCCGCCACCTTTCTTCACCTTCTCCTTCAACTCTGTGTATCTAACAGACGGTAAGAAATTAAAGTTTTGAGTCAGTGACAAAACAAGAAGAAACAACTTTTTCAAAGTCACGTGTAAAGAATCGAGTCTCACTCAGGCTAACTGACAATTATCCCCGTACTGCCACAAATGTTTCTATAAACTGTATGTAATTACATTTTGTATGCAAATGATTTGTATGAAGCCCGGCAGTGTGGATGCTGCAGAACCTACTTCTTAAGGCAGGCGTGCGAGTTTCTCAGGTTTGCCTCGTACACGTGGCGCTGGATTGGCTGCAGGGGCAGGTCCAGGACTGGAAAGGCGCTACGCAGAGCTTTCCTCCTCCTCACCGCAGAGCTCATACATCTGACTGAGCACTGCCAGCCCTGACCAGCAAACCTGCACAACAAGATTCATGCAAATACATTAGCATTCGGGGGATTATTCCGAAGTCCATGTCCAAAGAAAACACAAAACAGTGTCAGAAGAAAATCTGAAAAAAAAGATACAATGACCAGTTCTTGTTTGTTCATGTTTTAGAGGCGGCTGAGTGGTTAGAGCAGTCGTCCTCCAATGCAAGAGTTGGGGGTTCAATTCCACCAGCCAAAGTGTCCCTGAGCAAGACACTAACCCCTCATTGCCTCCGACGTGTCCCATCGGTGAATAAATGATAAATCACTGATTAATCTTTGCAGAGATCTAGTATAGAGCTGTATGAACGGGTAAATGAGGCACAGATTGTTGTAAAGAGCTTTGAGTATCTTGATTAGACAGAAAGGTGCAGTACAAGTACAGTCCGTTTATCATTCTTCTAAAACAGCAATGACACCATCCAATGACTGCGTTCTGTCCTTTTTACAAGTTGAACACTGGGGATCAAATGATGCCTCTTAATGTCTTTAATGTTTCATTTAAGAGTCATTTTAATTTGACATAAAGGTGTGAAATCCTTTCCAAAGAACAAACTTGTTTTTGTGCCTTGATTTCTCTCTCTGTGTACTGGTGGTGGGCTCATAATTAAATGGTGCATTGGGAACCCAACCCACAAATCAACATGCCAACATTTTTATGCATCTATATTTTTTACATAATTTGCTTCCATTTATTATTATTATATTTTTCAATTTATATGCCTTCTTTTAAGATTGTCTACTGTTGTCATCATTCTTTGATTAAAACCGGTTTCTCTTAATGAGTAACGTGTATAAATAAAGGTCGAACTGAATTGAATACACAACAATTAATGTGCCATATACATATTTATATTTTTGCATAAAACCCAGAATAGCAGCTGGTAGAGTCTGTAAAAAGCTGATAATGTTCTGGTCACATAATTAAATAAACTGATTCTGGAGCTTTGTAGCTAAATGTGTCAAAGGTCGTCTGACGCCAAAACCATAAATAAATGAAAAGCAACGACTTCTTTTCTTGACGCCTCATTTCTTACCTTATAAAGCAGCGGTGCATGTTTCACTGCTTATAATTCAAAATAAATGTATTCTACTGAAATTAACTCCCAAGTTTTTTTACACTTTCCTGCAACATGGCACTGATTCTTCTTTGTTTGTATTGACTTAAATAATTGACGAGTCTAAAAACCACACCGCCCTCTACAGGAGGCGCTCGGTACTGCAGCTCTTAATGTTTTCATTCTGTCCTATTAACATGTTTATTTAAGCACCAAAGAATTGTGATTTTTTTTTCATTTTTATAATCCAAATGACAAAACTGTGTTGTTTTAGATATGATTTTATTTGTTTGTTTTGTTAAAACACTTTGATGTTTATCAAAACAGAGAAATATCAAGAAATATCATTAAAATCCAGTCAAAAGAAACCTGACAACTAATATTTTTGAACCATGCAATTACAATCTTCAGGTTGCTTTGGGAGATAAAACTGCATAAAAATATTTTACATTATTATAAAATAAAATATATTTCTCTGTATTTTCTGTTTGCTACTTGTGGATACACACCACATGACTGTGAGATGTTTCTAAGATAGCCTTGTAGCCATTTGAAGAAAAATTTCAATTGACAAGAACAGCATTATTGATTGATTATTAATTGATTGATTGACTGATTAAGCTACACATTGTTATGCTGTCTTTCACAATTTCTAAATCCCCCAAATTTAAATGATTTGGAGGTTTAAACAGAAGATGTAAGATTTATGTAGTTACAAATATTAACCACAAGAGGGCGGCGTTGGACAATTTTACTGAGTTCGTTAAATTACTGTCGTCGTTTTGGTGCAATTTCATAATTTGTTTTCCCCCCCAAACTTTAAACATTTAGTATATTTTTATTTCCAAGGGAGATTCTTGAATATTTTATTATTTAATTTGTTATTACCAAATAAAGCAACTTAAAGCTAAGTTAAAATGAATAATAGTTCGTTTTTCACATGGTAAATACCTCATGGAAGCTCAATCACACCACCTAAAGACATAATACAATTTAACATGTTGAATTATTAAAGCTTGGGGGCTGTGGGAGCTGGGTGGTCAGTGCCATGGTCTTACAATCCTGAGGTAGCAGGCTCATGCCCAGGTTGCATTGGGAAAGGCATGTGGTGTAAAAACAAATTGCCAAATCCTTCATGCGAGTATGCACGCTGTGGTAACCCCTGAAGAAGGGAGCAGCCAAAATAAACTTTCTTCTTCAATTATTAAAACTGAAGTTAACAGCTAAGTGAATTATTGCAAAGTTCAGGGAACTGTAGGTTAATGGTGATAAGATTATAGAAATTTTAACCTGTATTTAATTATTCAGAACCATCTAAGTCTGCATTTTTTTTAGACCGACGCTGGTTTTAAAATAATACACAATGTTTATTATTATTATTATTAGTTTAAATGTTTGTTGATCAGTTTTTTATGTACCTTTCGCCAAGTCATGAAGACCAGAAGAATAAGAGTCATAAAGTAATAAACATAAATTTACAGTTAACATGTTCTTAAAATCTGTAAACAAATTCACACAATGGGCAGCACGGAGGAACAGTTGGTAGAATCCCGGCCGGGGGCCTTTCTGGGTGGAGTTTGCATGTTCTCTCCGTGCATGTGTGGGTTTTCCCCAGGTCCTCCGGTTTCCTCCCACAGACCAAAAACATACATGTTAGACTGATGGTAACTCTAACTGTCTCTAGGTGTGAGTGAGAGAGTGAATGGTTGTTTGACTCGTTTGTCTCTATGTGTCCCTGTGATGGACTGGAGACCTGTCCAGGGTGTCCCCGCCTCTCACACAATGATGGCTGGACATGTGCACCAGTGACCCCCACGACCCAACAAGGAAGAAGCGGGTAAAGATAATGGATGGATGGATATATATATATATATATATCCATCCA